CACCCACCCCGCCCTCCTCGGCCAGGTGGCAAGATCGAGGCTCAGAGAGGTGCCTCACTGGCCAGGCGGCCCAGCAGGGCCAGGTTCCCTGCCCCACCTTACCTGGTCCCAGGGTCCCTTCTTCTCCAGAAAGCTCTCATGGTAGTGTGAGGGCAGGGCACACTTGGGCTTGGGGGTCCGGGGTGGGTTCAGGGCGGAGGCCATGGCAGGCTGGGCCTCTGGCCTGGCCTCTCCTCCAGCGCACAAGCGGGGCCAGGAAGCAGAGGAACAGGTTCCAAGGGAATTTCCTCTCTACTGTCAGCTCCCGAGTCCCCTCCCCTGCCAGTGCTGGGCAGGGCGGGGCGGGCCGGGGCAGGTCCAATGATCCTAGGGAAATCCCAGACTCTCTGGTCTCTCCCAGAGGTCAGAGAGCAGCAGGCCATCAGGACTGCGGGATGGGGAGGAGCCACGGGAAGGTGTCAGTGTGGAGCAGAGGCTGCGTGACTGCACACAGGAGGAGGGACCTGCTTCGGCAAAGGCCTGGAAATGAGAAAGGAGGAGTGTGGTCCCCAGTTGGTTAGAGCCGTGGTCGGCAAACTGCGGCTCGTGAGCCACATGCGGCTCTTTGGCCCATTGAGTGTGGCTCTTCCACAAAATACCACGTGCGGGCGCACACATGTAGTGCGATTGAAACTTGATGGCTCAGGCGCAGAAGTTGGTTTTCGACTCTCAAAAGAAATGTCAATTGTTGCACTGATGATATGTGGCTCTGTTGACTAATGAGTTTGCCGACCACTGGGTTAGGGGATGTAACAAGAGAGTTCACAACAGGAACATAATATGAAGGACGGCTGGACCTCAGAATGACGGTGCCTAGGTCTAGCCCCAGATCTTGCTGGGTTTCTGATAGGAATTGCACTAAACTTGTATATTCGTTGGCGGGGACATGGCACCTTTATTATGTTGAGGCTTCTAGTCCATGGGCATGGTCTGTCTCTTCATTTATTTAAATCTTTGATTTTTTCAGCACAGTTGTGTAGTTTTCAGCATACAAGTACTGTACCTATGTATAGCCCCCTCCCCCCAAAAAACAAAACAATACAAAACAAAAAAAAACACTTTTTTTTTTAGCTTTGTATTTTTTATTTTTATTTTTGGTTAATCCTTATCCATTTTCTCATTGATTTTTAGAGAGAATGGAAGGGGTCAGGGGAGAGAGAGAGGGAGAGAGAAAGAGAGAAGCATCAATGTGAGAGAGACACGTCAATTGGTTGCCCCCTGCATTGGACCCAATGGGAGCCAGGGATTGAACCTGCATCCCAGAAACATGCCCTTGACCAGGAATCGAACTTGCCACCTTCAGGTGCACAGCTGATGCAGTAACCACTTTGCATCTGGCCAGAGCAATGCACCGTATCTTTCTTTTTTTAAGAGAGAGAGGAACAAGGGAGAGAGAAAGAAACATGGATCTATTGTTCCACTTATTTATGCATTCATTAATTGATTCTTGTACCCACAACCTTGGTGTATTGGGACAATATTCTCATCAACTAAGCTACTTGTCTAGGGCCTGTCCTTGGAATTTTTAATTCCCATTTTCACATATTCATTGCGAGTATACAGACATGCAATTGATTTTTGTGTGTTGATCTGGTATCCTACAACCTTGCTGAACTTGCTCAATTTTTAATTGAGAGGCTTTTGTTGCAGAGTTCTTGGGATTCTGTACATTTATCATCATGTCATCTGCAAATTAGGCTAATTTTGATTTCTCCCTTTCTAACCTGTACTACTTTTATTTATTTTTTCTGCCTTATTGTACTGGCTAGAACTTTTAGTACTATGTTGAAAAAAAATAATGGTGACAATGGACATCTTTCCATTCTTTTCTCTTTTTTTAATTTTTAAAATTGACTTCAGAGAGGAAGGGAGAGATAGAAACATCAATTGTTTAGCTGCCTTCTGCTGGTCCCCTTCTGGAGACTTGAGCCTGCAACCCAGGCACTTGCCCTTGCTCGGAATTGAACCTGGGACCCCTCAGTCCGCAGCCTGACACTCTATCCACTGAGCCAAACCAGCTAGGGCACATGTTTTCATTCTTTTTTTTTTTTTCTTCATGTTTTCATTCTTACGGGGAAAGCATTCGATCTTTAACCATTAAGTACAATGTTTATTGAAGGTTTGTAGACGCTCTCCACTAAGCTGAGGTGGTCTCCCTTTGTCCTAGTTTGCTAAGAGTTTTTATTATAATAAGTCGGTGTTGAATTTTGTTAAGTGCTTTTTCTGCATCTGTTGCTATGATTGTGCAGCTTTTCTTCTTCAGCCATTGCATTTGTTTCTTATGGCTACTGTAACAAGTTCCCGGCACACGTAGGGGCTTAAAGCAACACAAATGTATTATCTCACATGTAATTAGAAAGCCTGCACGGATCTCCCGAAGCTAAAGGCAAGGGATTGGTGGGGCTACATTCCTTGTTAGGGGCTGAACGGATGGAATGTTTCCCTCGCCCTTTCCAACTTCTAGAGATTTCCCACATTCCTTGGCTCATGCTCCCCCTTCTCATCTACAAAGCCAGCAATCCAGGTAGAACCCTCACTTCACCGGATCATTCCTAACTTCTCCCACTGTCTCCTTTCTCTGACTCACCCTTCCACTTTTAAGGACCCTTGTGATTACAATGGGAAAACTTCCCCATTCTAAAGTCAGCTGACCAGCAACTGTAATTCCATCTGCAACCTCAAATTCCCTTTGCCATGTAACCTCACTTATTCACAGATTCTAGGGACCAGGAGAGGGACTTCTTTAGGAAACCATTATTCTGCCCACCACGGCTGGTTAAATATGATGGATAACATTTATTTTTGAATACTGAACCTACCTTGGAATAAGCACCATATGGACATGGTGCATAATTATTTTTATATATTGCTGACTTCTATTTCCTAATACTTTGTTAAGGATTTTTCTGTCCCTATTCATGAAGGATATGGTCTGTATTTTTCTTTCTTTGGGCCATCCTTATCTGGTTTTGGTATCCTGGTAATTACTGCTGGTTTCGCCTAATGAATTTGGAACTGAAGTGCTCCCTCCAATTTTCTGGAAGAGGTTATATAAAAGTGGTATTGATTCTTCTTTGAACTTTTGGTAGGAAAATTATCTGGACCTGGAGAATTAAAGGAATTTTAAAAATTGATTTTGAGAAGGGGTGGGGGATGAGGGAAAGATAGAGAGAGAAACATTGATTTGTTGTTCCACTTATTTATGCATTCACCCATTGCTTCTTGTATGTGCCCTGACCGGGGATTGAACCTGCAACCTTGGCACATTGGAATGAAGCTCTAACCAACTGAGCAATCTGGGCAGGGCTGGAAATTTCTTTTTTGAGTGTTTAAACTTGCACACTCAATGTCCTTCATAGTTATAGGGTGAGTCTACGTGGACTTTATACACATAGCAAAGAATAGCCTTTGGAATCTACTGGAGAACTCTGATTCTGGCAATCTATTCATCTTGAATTGTCTAATAAAGTTGATAACAAGACTGCCATAAAGGGGTGCCATAAATAGTTAATAAAGTTGTAGCAGTTAATTTTAATTTTATTTATCAAATGCAATGGGGAGTCATTGAAGGATTTAGAGCTGGGAAGGGAGGTGATCATAGTTTCATTTATTTTTAGAAAAATATATTTTATTGATTTTTTACAGAAAGCTAGAAACATCGATGAGAGAGAAACATCAATCAGCTGCCTCCTGCACACCCCCTACCGGGGATATGCCGGCAACCAATGTACATGCCCTTGACCAGAATCGAACCTGGGACCTTTCAGTCCGCAGACCAACATTCTATCCACTGTATTGGGGGTTAGTATAGAGGCCTGAGGCCCAAAGAGATAGCAAGGGTCCTAGGTTTTGGAAGATAGTTGAAGAGAAAGTATGCAAGGACATGGAGGAGTAAACTAAAGCTAGACTTTAGGGAGCAGGGCGGTGACAAATTGGTGGCTGGACCCGCGGTGGGGGTTGGTGGGGAGACTCCAAAATGAGGCCTGGGGTGGACAAAAAGAAAACAATAATTCACATTTATCCCGCTCTGTCAAACCCTGATCCTTAAACCTGAAGTGGAATTATTATCCCCACGGGGACGCAGAGAGGTGGAGCCACTTGGCCAAAGTCACACAAGTGCACATGATAGCAGGATTTGAGTCACGTCCAGTCGGATTCCACACCACCCTGGCTGGACACCGCCGCCCCCAATTTCCTCTCCCCTCTTCCAGACTGGGGTCCGGGTAAACCCAATGGGGGATGCCCAACCCCGGGCTTCTAGCTCTGCCGAGGGCTGGGAAGATTCGAGCCGAGAGCTGGAGCTGGGAGGTGGCACTGCGCTGCGGGGCAAAGGGACCTGGGACAAAAGACAGGACTGCAGCCGCTAGATGCCCCCCGCCGCCCCCCGCCCCCGCCCCCGCCCAGCTCCGCCCCCGGCCTGTCTGCGCGGAGGGTGGGGCCATCCAGACCAAACCCTACAACTGATTGGATAAATGAGGTTGAGGGTTCCTGGTAATTGACCGAGAGCTGCAGCTGCCCATTGGCTCAGTCGGAGTTGGGCGGAGCAGCAGATTAACCCTGATTGGCTAGAGTAAGTCAAGCAGCTGCTGCTTATTGGTTGAAGGTGAAATAAACCTCCGACAATGGGCGGGCGTACTTCACTCCGGCCCAATAGAGCAATCACTCAGCCGAGGGCCCTCCCGAGTAATGGAGGTTAACCCTTCAGACTCCGGAGATGGCCACCCGCGGATCCGGGCCGCTCCCGCCCCCGGGCCCGCAGCCGCCCGGCTTCCTCTTCTCTCTTGGTCTCGCGGGCGAGGCCTCTGTGTCCCTCCCTCCGCGCTGGCCGCGGCCTCTGTCCCCCTTCGTCCCGAACTCCCCGCGCCCCCAGGCCCGGGCCTCAGTCCTAAGGGGAGACCTCGGATGGAGCACTAACCCCCTGAGAGCAGGAGCCTTGCGCCTCGGTTCCCTCCCTGGCACCTATGAACCCTCCGTTGCCACCCCCGCCCCTGGAGAGTGGTCTCAGGCCTCAGTTTCCCCAGCGGCCCCCGGGAGGATTGAGCCCCCGACGTCCCGTCTTCAGTGCGCAGGCGCGGGCCTCAGTTTACCTGCGCGCACTTGCGGGCCGAGCCCCCCGCCCGCCCTCCGGCGGCGGCCAATGGCAGCGGCGCCCCCCGGATTGGGGCGGGGCCGCATCACGTGTCGGGAAGAAAGAACTAGCGGGGCGCGGGGCTGGAGCGGCCATGGCAGGTACGGCGGGCCCGCGGGGGGGCCGGCGAGGCGCCGGGGGCGGGGGGGCCGGACCCGACCAGGGGCGCGCGGCCCCGCTGCAGCCTGTCGCTGCCCGCAGCTCCGGAGCCGCTGTCCCCGGCGGGCGGCGCGGGCGAGGAGGCGCCGGATGAGGACGAGGATGAGGCGGAGGCCGAGGACCCCGAGCGGCCGGCGGGAGCGAGCGGGACGCGCAGCGGCGGCGGCGGGGCCGGAGCCGGGGGCGGCGGCGGGCCGGGGGGCGCGCTCCCCAGGCGCGCGGTCACGCTGCGGGTGCTCCTCAAAGACGCGCAGCTGGAGCCCGGCGCCGGGGTGCTGTCCATCTACTACCTGGTGAGCACCCCCCAGCCCGGCCCGGCAGGGGCAAGGAGGGAAACCGAGGCCCAGAGCTCCCTTGCAGTAGGCGGAGCCTGGGAACGGAGAGGGGAGACTGAAGCACGGGCCATCCAGACCCAGCACGAGCCCAGAAGGTCCATCGTTCACCAAACACCCCATTCTACAAAGGAGAACTTGAGGCTCAGAGAGGATATACTTGGCTGTGTGGCCTCGCTCAACCTCTCAGGATCCTACTATTCTAGTTTCCTTCTTTGTAAAATGGGACTCCCCCCTCCCCCCCCCATGGGGTTGTATGAGAATTAAATGAATAAAGCGCTCAGCAAGTGTCTGCTACACAGTAAGTGCTTTGTGTTTGCTCTTCTTACTATTGTTGTTTGGTCTGGGAACGGTACAGTTTGTGAATTGAGCACCTGCTGTGTACCAGCATGTCAGGTATTAGGGACACAGCAGTGGAACAAGACAGACCCTGTCCCTGCCCTTTGGGGGTTCACAGTGAGGGGAAGGGGGGTAGACACATACTTGGGGTGCTTTGGATCCAAGCCGATCAGGACATGTAAGTGCAGGGAGGCGCCTAAGGGAGAAAGCTTCCTGAAGGGGTGCTGAAGTGGGAAGTGGGTGCTGAGCCCTGGGAGCAGCAGTGGGTCAGGGAGGACCTCCTGGAGGCGGACGTGGTGGGCACCAGGTCCTGGGCCCAGCCAGCCCACTGTCACTGCAGGGGAAGAAGTTCATGGGGGACCTGCAGCCGGACGGGAGAATCGTGTGGCAGGAAACGGGGCAGGTGTTCAACTCACCCAGCGCCTGGGCCACCCACTGCAAGAAGCTGGTGAACCCGGCCAAGAAGTCGGGCTGTGGCTGGGCCTCCGTCAAGTACAAGGGCCAGAAACTGGACAAGTACAAGGCTGCCTGGCTCAGGCGACACCAGCTCCACGTGCCTGCAGCTGTCGCCGATGAGGTGCGTCCCTCGGCCTCCGGGATTAAGCCTTAGACTCCATCCCGTGTGACACGGAAATGGTAATGGTGGGACCTTGTGTATTAGACACATTTAGGTCGCTCAAAATATGTGTGCACACATCTGGCTGGCAAGTCTTAAGTCTGGAGGGCCACTGGCAGGCTGGAAACTCCGACAGGAGTTTGTTGGTGCTGCAGTCTTGAGGCAGAATCCCTTTTCTGAGAGACCTCAGTTTTCGGAGTAGTCTGACTCGGATGCTGGTCTGGGTGGGCGATGATGGGGCGGAGCTGACTAGCCATTGAGATGGAGAAGTGGTCAGGTGCTGACTGATTTTGAAAGTGGATCTGATGGGATTTGCTGATGGATTAAATGTTTTGTTCTGAGCAAGTGGGTAGATGGGGTTGCTGTCATTGGAGATGTGGGGGTTGGGGAGGACTGGTTTGGGGGATGGTTGGGTGCATCATGGCTGTATTGAGTGTGAGCACCCCCTGCATGGTGATGTTTTGGACAGTGGACCCTGAGTCTGGAGCACAAGAGGACTCCAGGATGTAGACAGGTCTGTGGGTATCACTGGGGCATGGGCAGGATTGGAGTCCTGAGAGTAGACCAGGCTTTCCTGAGGGAAGAAGCCCCAGGATCCAGCCCTGAGCAACAAGGGAGAGATGGGGCGGCTGAGGGACCCTGGAGGGGGCAGGGAAGGGGGTGAGTTAGGATCCCTGAGAAGTTCCCATGAGGAGGGGGTACCAGCTGGGTCCGATGCTGCTGGGAGCGGGAGGAGGGCAGAGAATGAAATGTGACTGTTGGGTTTGGACACAGAGAAGCCACCTTGGCAAGGGAAGTTTAGGAGAGAGCAAGAAGAGAGGTTATTTAGAGATTTAACATAATCCATACAAAGTGTACGCTTGCTCAATGGAGCAACTGACCATATGCTAAATTCTTTGCACACATTAACTTGTTTCACCCTGATGCCAGCCCTATTGGGTTAGAGGTCATTGTGCGACTCTACAGGTGAGCGTAGAGCTCAGATAGGTTAGGGCGCTTGCCTAAAATCAGTTTGTTTAGGACTCTAACCTATTTCAGCCACATGAAGGCGCTCAGGTCTGAGCAGCGCCAGAGCCTTAGGCCGCCTCTGCTCACTCCCTCCCTCTAGTGGACATCTGAGGCAACGGCAGGGACCTAAGGGTCCGGCAGGCCAGCAGTCTGGGTGGAACATGGGGAGGGTGGAGTGCACCCAGCTGAGGATCCCGCTGCTGTCACCCCCGCCAGAGCCCAGCCAGTGAAGGGGAGGAGGAGGAGCTGCTGATGGAGGAAGAGGAGGAGGAGGTTCTGGCAGGGGTCTCAGCAGAGGACAAAAGTCGAAGACCACCTGCAAAGGGCCTCTCAGAGCCTGCCCATCCTGGTGAGAGGCGTGAGGGAGGGGAGGAGACAGGGTGGGCGACATGCAGAGCGCAGGTGCAGGCGGAGGCTGTGGACAGGGATGGCCTTTCTTTTCCTCGGTGCCTCCAAGGTGCCCCGCTGACGTCCTAGCCCACCAATTTCACTCTCACGGCCTGACTTCTGAAGCTCTAATCTTGGATTTCTTGCTCCCACCCACCAATTTCTTTCCTTTTTTTCCATTGACCAATTAATGTGTTGCCCAATTTTTTCCCCCCACCCCACCATGCTGCCTGATTTCCTTATTCCCCAACAGTATGTCTTTGTCCTGTTGTCTGATTTCTAAACTTGCTGCCTAATTCACCTTCTGAGGTCCTCACCTGATTTGAGCCCTTCATCTGGTTTCAAATCGCTGCCCAATTTATCAACCTGCTGCCTGATTTCCCATTCCCGCTGCCTTATTTTTAGGGCTGCTTCTAGGTGATTTTTTTTTTCTCTCTTGGGTTGCCCTGTCTTTGATATCCAGTTCCAGGCTGGGGAGGGACTGACGCGGCCTTTTTTCTTACCCCAACCCCGCAGAGGCCACGCCCCTGGGGAAGCGAGTGGAAAACAAGATCCGGGTGCCAGTGCGGTACTGCATGTTGGGCAGTCGCGACTCTGCCAGGTCAGATATGTCCATGTCCCTGACTCACACGAATCAGTTTACACAAGCTCTTGCTGGGGTGACGGGGAGGAGTAGGGTGGGGACAAGGCCTCAGATACTCAGATCTGGCTGGGAGAGGGTTGAGGAGCCAGCCTCGGGGTTCCTGAAGCTGTGGGACCCTCGGCCTTCTGCAGGAACCCCCATACCCTGGTGGAAGTAACATCCTTCACAGCCATCAACAAGTTCCAGCCATTCAACGTGGCCATCTCCAGCAACGTGCTGTTCCTGCTGGTGTGTGCCTTGTGGGCCAGGGGCTCCCAGGTCTGGGCAGAGGGCTGGGGTGCTCTGGAGGCAGATGGGGTCCCTGGAATGTCAGCTCTATGTGGGTGGGCACCTTGTCTGCTTGCTCACAGGTGCTCCAGAGTTTGGGTGAAGGAGGAGGTGAGAGGGCTGGCCGGACTCCCAGGATGGGCTGGGGCGGGTGTAGCCTGAATGTGACTTTTCATGTACCTCTTCCCAGGACTTCCACAGCCACCTAACTCGCAGCGAGGTCGTGGGGTACCTGGGGGGCCGCTGGGACATCAACAGCCAGAGTGGGTAACTGGGGCCCAGGGGGCCGGGGGATGCTGGGGGCTGGGTCGATAGCCACGCCTTCTCTCCTCGCCCTGTGCAGTGCTCACGGTGCTGAGAGCCTTTCCCTGTCGCAGCCGGCTGGGGGACGTGGATACCGGGGCCACCGTAGAGGAGGAGGTGAGGGGACACTGGGTGGGCCTTTCCGGGGTGGGATGGCAGCTGGCAAAGTCAATGCTCAAAAGATGTGCAAATGAGCATGTGTGAGCGCCTGCCCCACCTGACACCTAGTAAGGGCTGGATACATTTTAATGGCCATTAAAAAAAAAAATCCTCACTCGATATTTTTTTCATTGATTTCTAGATAGAGTGGAAGAGAGGGAGGAGGGGAGAAAGAGAGAGAGAAATATCGATGTGAGAGACACACACCGATTGGTTGCCTTCCAACTGAGGTATGTGTACCCTTAACCTGTGTGCCCTTAATCGGGAATCGAACCCAAGACCCTTTGGTCCATGGGCAGACACTCTAACCACTGAATAAAACCAGCCAGGCCTTAACTGCCATTTTAAAAATAAATATCTTTTTATTTATTTCAGAGAGGAAGAGCTAGAGAGTTAGATACATCAACGATGAGAGAGAATAGGATCATTTGATCAGCTGTCTCCTGCACGCCCCACACTGGGGATCGAGCCCACAACTTTGGCATGTGCCCTGATTGGGAATTGAACTGTAACCTCCTGGTTCAAAGGTTGATGCTCAACCACTGAACCACATCAGCTGAGCTTTTAAAAATTTTTTTTTGTTTTTTATAATTTATATATTTTATTGATTTCAGAGAGGAAAGGAGAGAGATAGAAAACATCAACGATGAGAGAGAATCATTGATTGGCTGCCTCCTACAAACCTCCACTGGGAATCAAGCCAGCAACCAAGTCAGGACACATGGAACCGTGACCTCCTGGTTCATAGATCGATACCCAACCACTGAACCACCCCCATCGGGCTGCCGTTCTTGATGTTTTCCTGATGGTTCTTAGTGTGCACCTGGCACCATGCTCAGCGCTCTGCACCCACCTCAGGGAGAGTGAATGGGTGGTGATTCAGTGAGAACTGTTCTCTTTCCGCCCCTGCTCGCCTCCACTTGAAGGCTTCAGGAATGCCTGTGCCTGCTCAAATGCACGCATATCCACCTCCTGAACTGTTTACTGAGCATTTACTGTGTGGCAGGCATTGTTGCAGGAGTTGGGACACACCAGGAAAATCACTTTTTGCCTTTGTTTCATGACAGGTGCATCTTTTTTAAAAAATATATATTTTTATTGATTTTTTATAGAGAGGAGGAGAGAGGGATAGAGAGCTAGAAACGTCGATGAGAGAGAAACATCGACCAGCTGCCTCTTGTACACCCCCTACTGGGGATGTGCCCGCAACCAATGTACACGCCCTTGACCGGAATCGAACCCGGGACCTTTCAGTCTGCAGACCGATGCTCTACCACTGAGCCAAACCGGTTTCGGCAACAGGTGCATCTTTTTTATGTACTTGTTGACCATCCCCAACCGGACTTGTTAGGGTGGGCGTGGGGCAGGCCTGGTCCACGCTGATACTCATTATGTGCTGCCCTCACGTGGAGCGGGATGAGAGTCAGGAGCACACCAAGGCTGGTAGGATCCAGCTCCCCGTCCTCTCCAGCTCTGCCTCTGTCCCCAGATCTACCAGAGCCTGCTTCTACGCGGCCTGTCCCTGGTGGGCTGGTACCACAGCCACCCACACAGCCCGGCGCTGCCATCGCTGCAGGACATTGACACGCAGATGGACTACCAGCTGCGGCTGCAGGGCTCCAGCAATGGCTTCCAGCCCTGCCTCGCCCTGCTCTGCTGTAAGTGCCCCGCTGGGGTAGGGGTGTGTGTGTGTGTGTGTGTGTGTGTGACTCCTGGAGCATGAGCCCCTCAGGCCTTCCCCTTTCTCTCCTCCCACAGCCCCTTACTACTCTGGCAACCAGGGTCCAGAGTCCAAGATCTCCCCGTTCTGGGTGATGCCACCCCCTGAGGTAGGTGGGGCTCCTGGGGGAGGCCAAGGGTCAACGTGCTGGATGTGTCATGGGGTGGGAGGCTTGGGGTGGCTGGTGGTGACTGACCGGTGTCCCTGCCAGCAAAGGCCCAGTGACTACGGTATCCCCATGGACGTGGAGATGGCTTACGTCCAGGACAGCTTCCTGACTAACGACGTCCTCCATGAGATGGTGAGCTCACTCCCAGGTGAGGTGGGTGCATCCCTCCTCATGAAAGTGCCTCCCAGCTGGACCTACAGGACAAGGTCCGACTCGGGACGCCGAGGCTGAATATGCCACACCAGGGCCCTGGCCAGGTACCTCTTCTGCAGATAACCACCGGGCTCTTAGGACCCAGGCCCAGGTCCTTGCAGCACCCCTCCCTCACCCCACGGGCCTCCTGGTTGTTGTGGACACACCAGGGATGCTGCTATCTCGGGCCTCTGCACCTGCCACTGCTTCTCCAAGGGGCGACACGTGGAGGATGTCAGGTGTTAGCAGGATGGTTTATGCCTGTGGCTCAACAGGCATTTAAAAAAGGGAGCTAGTTCATGCCACCTGTGGTTTCACGGTATCAGTAGTGAGGCTAAAGCAGGGAGCGGTCAGGCCCGTGAGACAGCACGTTCAACGTGCCTCCCTCAGCCTCTCGGGCAGCTCCCTCTCCCCTCCATAAGCCTCCTGCTGAGCGCCCTCCTGTCTGCTGGGCGGGCGCCTCAGTGGACTGGGTGAGCCGTGTTGTCTGCTCGCATTAGCCCAGAAGCCTTCACGACAAGCGACAGGCAGCGGCAGCACGTCCTGCTCTCGCTGGGTCCCAGTGCCTGGCGTGGGGAGGCGGGAGCGAGGGGCCCCAACCAGCCCCTGTCCTGTAGATGCTGCTGGTGGAGTTCTACAAGGGCGCCCCGGACCTGGTGAGGTTCCAGGAAGCCTGGAACCAGGAGCACACCTACCTGGACAAGCTCAAGGTAAGACTTCTTTCTACCCAAGTCCCATGTGCACCCCTCCTGGAAGACAGCTCCTGGAGAGCAGCCAAGAATACACTCATGGGCGGCTTGAGAAAGAGATTCCCTCACTTAAGTATTTCAGCTGGAAATGCAGTGCCCCAAAGCCTTATCACGAGGGTGGGGTGGGAATCACCATCAAAGTGGAGGTGAACTGTTAGTCCTGTAGACAGACTCCAAGACCCTGGGTCAGCCCCGCTGAAGCTGCACTGGCCCCTACTTCCCTGTGCGGCCACTCAGGATGGGCCGGGTTCTGATCTGGTTTAGTCTTGAGAGCTGCTGGTGTTGTGAACGTGCACACTGGCCCCCAGGTAGTGGGACATTTAAATTAGGCTTTTATTGGCCTCCCGTGTGTGTCTGATTTATTTCCTGTTTGAAAGTCATCCTCAGAAGATGCTCTCACCTCTGCTTTGCATAGTTTCACACTTTTGCTTGTTTTGTTCAAACTTTTATATTTTGTTAATCCTTACCTGAGGATATTTTTTCCATTGATTTTTAGAGTGGGGGGGAGGGGAGAAACATGGATGTGAAAGCGACACATCGGTTGGTTGCTTCCCACATGTACCCCAACCTGGGGCCATGGATCAAACCTGCAATCCAGGTACCTGCCCTTGACCAGAAATTGAACCGGAGACCCTGTGGTCCATGAGCTGATGTCCTAACCATTGAGCACACAGGCCAGGGCTATTCAACTTTAAAGAAAATAGTAACCAGGCCGGGGCTTAAGGTTCCTTGTCACCTCCCAGCCAGGCACTGGGCTGCTAGGGGTGCAGTGGGAGGGGGAGGGTTGCTGGGTGACTCTCAGCATGTGGCACGTGTGGGATCTAGGCTGGCGTGACAGCAGGATTTGTAAAGTGCAGATGACCCCCTCGCCCCAAACATTAGACAGCTGGGTCTTGTTACTCCTTTTTGTTAGAAAGCTTTGCGTTAGGGATACCACCGTGAACCTCGGGCAGGCAAGCCCCTCTGCCACGTGGCAGCGCTTGGGCTTGGGGGGCGAGGCCAGGCCAGGACTGCGGGACGTAGTCCTGAGGCACCAGGCCTGATTGTTTCAGATCTCCCTGGCCAGCAGGATGCCCAAGGACCAGGGCCTGTGCCATGTGCTGGAGCAGGTGTACAGCGTCCTTAAGCAAGGGAACTGAGAGGATGGACCTCTGAGGACCTGGGAGGCCTCCTGGTCAGACTCGGCACCCCCCAACCCTGGGTGAGGGGGAGCAATCGAGAGGTTTCGTTCGCGATTGTGTTGCTGTTTCTGTGGGCCTGAGGTGTTCGATGGCAGGGGCTCATGTAATAAAGGAGAGAAGCAAACAGCCCAGGCCTGTGTCTCACCCTGAGGGGGGCCTAGCACTTGCTGCTGGGCATGTAGGCTGCTGTCTGGGCAGCTGAGTGTGTGGACAGTGCTTTGCCCATCCCCAGCCCTGTCCCTCCCTGGGCTTGCTATGGGTGCCCACTCCAAGAGAGGGTAGGTGGGCAACTGTGTAGGCCCTGTCCTGACCAGAGACCCCTTGGGAGGGCTGTGGATGTCCCGGTGAAAAGAAGGCCTGCCCCACACCACAACCAGGCAAGAGACTGTAGAAAGAGACGTTTAATACTTCTTTAAAAAAAGTCAGGATTACATTTCCATCTGGCCTAGACTGACCAAGGCTATGCTGCTTGTCTTGGTCCGGATGCCTGTGTCGCACCCACTCACGATGGTGGGGGGCCTTGGGACGAGCAGAGCCTGGTGTCATGGGGCTGTGCAGGGTCACGGGGGGAAGGGAATGTGAACCAGGCCCGAGGTCCCCCGAGGCCAATTTCAGATTAGGCAAGAGGCGAAGCAGATGCAGGGCTGAGCCCTGCTGGTCTGGCAGCTGCCTACCTTGGTCTGGAGGAGACAGCTGGGGATACTGTCAACAGGGGGATGGCAGCCAGCTTGGGATGGGGGAGGCCCTGTGACTTTTCCGAGCAGCCAGGGGTCTGGCAACATTCACTCATCAAAGCCTTTGTGCAGAGAGGAAGCTGGAGGCTCCCATGGTCCCGTGTGTGTGTGTGTGTGTGTGTGTGTGTGTGTGTGTGTGTGTGTGTGTGGCTGGTGGTGGCAGCTTGTGCCAAAAATGGTCCATGTGCTTGGTTAGAGGTGGGCATGGGTGTGTGGGGCTCAGCCCTGCAGCTGAGGACAGGGCCCCTGGGTGAGGCCCTGCTAGGGAGGTGGCATCTGTGGGCATGCAGGGGCCTGAGGAGTGTCTTGGAATTTAAAAGCAGGTGAGTCTGGGCCGGGGGTCCTGCATGGACCACCGCATCACACAGACTTTGCTCACAATAAGGAGGGGACGGAGGGTATGTGTGTCTGAGTGAAGGGGACCCACCCAGAGTTACCAGTCCTGGAGGGCGGGAGGAAGTTAGTGTTTCTAAGAGCACCTTAGTGTCAGCCCCCCTCAGGGCGGTGGGGAGGGGAGCCACACCACCCCTATGGTGAGCACTAGTGTAAACAGGGCCCTGGCCTCTCCGACTGGCCCTGCTGCCTCGAGTCCTGGTGCCCTGGGAATACCTCGGGAGGCCCGGGGAGGAGCACTGCCCTTGCTGTGCTTCGGGCCGAGTGGAATACAGGCGATCTGGACGGAGAGGTGAGCAGGCCCACGCTGTCACTGAGGCAGGGGCACCAGCACCTCCACGTAGCTGAGGGGGAAGAAGCCCGACTGGCCATGGAGCATGCCCTCGTACCAGTTCTCGTCGATCTGGTTGGTCAGCGTGATGATGTCGCCCTCGTGGAAGCCCAGCTCCCCATCGTTCTCGGGCTCAAAGTCATAGAGTGCCTTGCAGCTTGGCTGGTCCAGGGGCGCTGGGGGTGGGCAGGGTATGAGTATAAGGTCTGGGCATCCAGCTCAAACCCCACCTGCTGCCTCGCTGTGCCCCAGTTTCCCCTAAGGAGAGCCACTCTTCCACTGGCTCCCCATGGTTTGGAATAAGGAGCAGTGACACACAAAGAATGGAGGACCTGGGGACGCGCAATGACCCAGAGCCCACCGCCCTCAGGGTGCCGTGGATGCTCACAGCGGCCCGTTCCCACGGAAGGCTGAGGCCACAGAGGCAAGAACTCAGCTCCTCCCCTGCTTGAGGGTCTGAGGAATCCCCAACCAGTGTGCACTCTACTGAACAGGGGAGTCAGACCCTCCCAGGACAGACTGGAAAGCACTGTTATAAACCAAGGCAGGGGGACACTCACGCATGGTCCTGCTTGGGGTCCGGATGGGCTTGTCGGAAGATCGGAAAGATGACGACGCTGCAAACAAAACACACAGATGAGCTGAGAGTGCTGAGGTGGGGCCTGGCCCCATCTCTGGGCCTCCTTTTGCAAAGGGCTTAGACAGGGCAGCAGGCTGGGGCTGTCCCACAAGAGGCCTGTCTCTGAGGCCCTGGGAAAACACGCCCCTCCCACACCTTACCTGTGATCTTGGGGGCCGGGAAGCCCCCGTTGGACTGCTCAGACTCTGCAGTCTCAAAGCTCTCCCGGGGCTTGGGCTTATATTCACGTTTGGGGCGCGAAGAGGCTTCCCGCATCCTGCAGTGAAGGGGGAGGTGTGAGCAGTCACAGAGCCAGGGTGTCAAGGCCAGAGAACAACACCCCCCACCCCCCAAGCTGATTTTGCTGCTGCCACATGGACAGTGGGACCCTGGGAGGCTGTGAGATGGACACAACACACGGGAATCTTAGGGGACCCCCTGGGCCAGATCCCCAGACCAGGGCATTTTTCAGGTTGCCAAGTGGCCCACCAGGGCACCACTGCCAACCAAGGAGACTAGCAGAGGAGGAAGGGTTCCCGGAGTCTGCCCTGGTAAGCTGCCTCCCACCCCCCTCAGGTTGTCTCTTGTCCCACCGCCACTCCAACCCTCTCCTCAGGGACAGGACAAGCCCGAGGAGGTCCTATCCCCACAGCCCAGAGCTTATGAAAGCCTGCTGCCAGCCCAGGATTCCACAGCAGGGACCCCGCTAGCCAGCACAGAAGGGAAGGGGCTCACCTTCGCTTAAGCTTGCTGGCCAGCTCGTCCAGGATCTGCACGGCCTGCCGGTGGTATTCCAACTGGGCATCCACCAGGGCAGAGAGCTGGCTCACCTGCTCAATCTGCAAGCAACCAGCCAGAGCTGAAGAGGGGCTGACCTCTAACTCCCACCTCCAGGCCACTTCCTGCAAGGAGCCTTCCCAGACTGCGCCAGGCACTGGGGCCCGGCTGACCTTTGAGCTGCAGCTGGAGAAGGGTGGAGGATCCAGACACCGAAAGCCTCAGGGTGCCAGTTGCTGCCCACCGCTGCTCCTTGTTTCCCCATCACTTCCCCTTCCCTCCTAAACCAGCACTGAGCCCTTGGGTGCTGGCACCTGCTTCAGGGGCTTCCCAAGCAAGGGCAGTCCCCGCCATGGACGTACATCAGTCTCCAGGAGGTTGTGCATGCTGGTCTCCGCCACCTCCTTGGACTCCTCGAACTTCTCCAGGGCCTGGCGCAGCTCCTCATCGGGGATCTTGCCCTGCCGCTTCTTCTTATAGTCAAAGTCCAGGCGGCGGCCCTCAAGCTTCTTCAAGTGGTGCTGAGGGCAGGGCGAGGGTCACATTGCAGGGCCCCCCAATGCCTTGCAGCCCTGCTCACAGCAAGTATGCACAGAGGTGAGCTGAGCAGGGGCCCAGGATGGGAAGAGGCTCACTGAGTGAGGGAGCCATGTGGGATTCCTGAGGGCGCTATGGGGGGTGGGCATGAGGGACAGGGCATCAAGGCATACCTGGATCTCCTTCAAGTCTTTGTCGCACAGGTTCTGGAGGGGGTCGATGAAGTTCTGCTTGACCTCTATGTCCAACGAGTCCTTCACCTCTGCCAGGCACTTCATGGACTCCCCTGCATCCAGCAGGGCGTCGCCTGAGGGGGTAGCGGGTAGGGGAAGGAGCCATCACAGGATGCCTGTGGGGCCAACACGCCCCCAACTTTTAAAATGACCCCACAGCCAAGGACTGATCAGAAATCAGAGCAACAGACCATCACGTCTGTTCCTGAGCCAGTGGCCTGGGGCTGGTAATGACAAGTGCCAAACAACCTGCCCCCTCCACACTCTCAGAAGGGGCCAGATTTGCCCTGAACGCGCTGTGGTGTGAGCTTACCGCAGCCTTAACACTGCAGGTGGTCCTGGGATTCTCCCTCCCCCTAGGGGAGCAGCCAGCACTTGAGAAGATCCTGGAGCTATGGAGGGAAGTGCCCTCCTGCTCACCAGGGTGGGGAGGCTCTGGCCTTCCCTCCCTCAGCCTGGCCGCCTGCCCATGCAACCTGCTGAGGCGGTCGTGGTGGCCCTCACCGAAGTTGGACTCGCCACCCAGCTCCTTCCCGTGACGAATCATGCACTCGCCCAGCAGGCCTTCCGACTGCGGGTAGCCAGGATTCTTCACCTGCCCACGGATCTTGGATACCGTGTTGAGCATACTCAGCTTGGCCCTTGAGGCTGGAAAAGAATGGGTCGGATGGGCATGTGGGTGGTTTCTCCAGGACTCACCAGGCCTTGCCCAGCTAGCACTGCTGCCCTGGGTGCTCCCACTCTTCCCCAAGGCCCAAGTATTTCTGAAGCACTCCCCTGGCCCAGGGCACTTGGTTGCCATGCCTGTTGACAACCAGGCTATGAAGCCCCTGAGCAGACCTGCCCTACTCTGTTCTTGGCCACAAAGGATCATGGGCAGTGGGCAGGAGAGGCGATCAGCTCTTCAGGAGCCCCCAGGGCCTCCTCAGCCTGGAGCACGGCTGAGTGGACCCTCCCCTCAATGGTGTGGTGGACTAGCACGCTAGACAAGTGATGGTGGGCAGGTACAGGCATCGCAGACATGGATCTCCTCCGGAGGTGGGGGAGGAGCTATGCTCCTACCTCTGCCCACTTGGGTCTCTCCCTGGCATAGGCCTTGAATGGAGACGCCTGGGTTTGCTACCTGTTCCACGTCCATTGCCTCCTGCTATAGGAATTGGCATTGGATATTCCTTGAGGGAAGGTCCCCATCCTAAGAGACCCCACGTCATGCTCCAAAGGCGGGCATGTGGCTGGTGCCTGACAAACTAGAGTGAATACCCAATTCAAACTGGCCCAATGAATCGGTTGGGGTGGGGGAGGTGCTCTTTTCTGTTGGGACTGTTAGCTGCAAAGGTGACTTAAGGTTGGGATTGACACAAAAATGAGAGCCGCCAGATGAAGCAGAAAGGAAATGCATGACCCCAAGGACATCCTTTAGATACCTGGCCCAGCCATGCCTAAACCCACCTACCCCATGACATTTCAGTTTTGTGATCCCTTACGTTCCTTCTTCATGCTGTGGTAACGGGAAGAACTTGCAGCTAGCTGGTGCCCCTACCTGGGTTGGGCTGCAGGTATTCGATGGTTCTGGCCAGCACTTCCGCCACAGCCTTGCTGGTAACATCCACCTTCTGCAAGGAGGCAACATGTGTGGTTTCAAAACCAGTGGGGCACCCAACACCAAACCAGGGGCCCCTGGATAGCCCTGCCCTGCCTCCCAGTCCCTGCCGCCTCGGAGCCCACATAAGAACTACTCGCTGCCGTGAGGGCTCCTGGCCCCCTGCAGTTCACACCACTTCCCGCCGCCGCCCAGGCCTAAGGGACACCTGATGCCTCTGGTCCATCCTGATAAGTCTTGGCCTACATGTCAGAGCTGGGCCTCGCGAGGGACTGGGTAAATGGTGCCAGACGTTAGGCAGGGCACGCCACTCTTCCCATTACCTTCTCCATCTCTTTGAAGTCATCGTCAAGCTTGGTCCCTTCAGCCCCTCCGACCTTCTCGCTGACCAGCTGGGGAACAGAAGAAGGTAAAAGAGTGAGTCTCAGAAGAGGAGGCTCCAGGATGCCTCCCAGCCTTGCCACGTCCACTGCCCGTGGGAGAGCACGGGGTCAGGATGTGCATGACAGCTTCCCAGAGATGCTGAACACAGCAGCCAATGGCAAGACGGGTGACCGAGCACATGCTCCTTCAATGAAGGTGGGGGCTCCTTCTCTCAGTAGGAACCTCAGGGGTCACTGGGTACCGCAAATCCCCCAAAATGCATGCTCTGGGTGAATGGGGGGAGGCTCCTGAGAGGCGAGCAGGTCTATGGTGGAGAGGAGGTCCCATGGCTAAATGAACAGGGAAGTGTCATGTTTGATAAGAGCTGATAGGGAAGGAGAGACTTGCCCTACTCGGGCCAAATGTGTGGGCATGCACACACATCTGAATAGCTTCAACACTCTGGATGCTTAATAACACACAACCCCGAACAGCAGCGAGTGACATGTTTTTTATTTTTTTTATTTTTTTTAAACTGTTGCTATTTATTTAATGTATTTTTATTGATTTTTTACTGAGAGGAAGGGAGAGAGATAGAGAGCTAGAAATGTCGATGAGAGAGAAACATCGACCAGCTGCCTCTTGCACACTCCCTACCGGGGATATGCCCGCAACCAACGTACATGCCCTTGACCGGAATTGAACCTGGGACCCTTCAGTCCGCAGACCGACGCTCCCCTGCCAAACCGGTTTCGGCGCGAGTGACATGTTTAATTTCTCATGCTTAATCACAGATACTTGCCCTGGCCTATGTGCGCAGTGGTTAGAACATTGCCTAGCTTTGTTTAAAGCACCAAAGGGTCACACAGGTTTGATTCCTGGCCTTGGCTGGGGCACACGCGGGATGCAACCAATGGATGTGTCTCCCTTACATCTATGTTTCTCTCCCCCCAACTCCCTCTAAAAATTAATTGAAAAAATGTCCTCGGGTGGGGACTAGCCATGAAAAAAAAAATCAGACACTCATGCACGCATGGCACATACACAGACACACTCCATTTCCTAATGGCTGGCAGCAGTTTCTGCTCACACATAACCCCTCCCGGGCTCCTGAGGACACCCAGCGGCTGTCAGTCTACAGGAGCAGCCAGGTCACTGACATGCAAGGACAGGCCCGCCACCTTCTACCTATGTGGTCATGGAGAATGGGCTTCACTGGGCCTCTGTTTTTCTCTTTGTGAAATGGGGTGACAGATATGCACTCAGGGGGCCATGTGCCAGCTTCTGTGACCTGCTGCATGCGTGTGCTCAGGAGTGTGCCTGGCAAACAGTAAACACTGGGCAACCACACTGCCTACACCTCTGACCACTATTACTTTCCCCACCTGTCTCGTCCCCCCATAGGGACTGAGCAGAACTCCAGGGCAGGCCTAGCCTGTTCGTATCCTTCCTCCACTCCTGCTCCCCGCCCCCACCCTGAGAGTTAGAGGGGAGTCTAAGAAGAAAACTGGGCACAGGTGAGAAAGGAGATCAGTATAGGAGGGAGAGGGGACAGAAAGGAGGAGGACAAGGAGGAAGCAGGGCTGGTGTGTGGGGCAGGCCGGGGACTGGCACCACTCGGACCCGCTGGCTGTCCTCTGTGGTGCACATTCTCTCGGGGGCCTCACAGGAGAAGCAAGGACTTCTGCTTCTGCTAACAAATTCATAAGGAAAGACCCTGTCTGCCCTAGGTGTTCCGGGGCGTTCCACTTTATTTCATGGGACAGTTTCACTTCTTTTGATTACGGGAAAATAGGACGTTCTCAAATCCGGTGGTTGCCAGAGAAGGAAGTGAGTTGCCTGCCTGACGTGAGACACTCCTCTGGGGGTACTGAGAGGGGAGCTGAAGCTTAAAACCACACCTTCCGGGCTGAGGTCCCTGGGGCCAGACGGCCCATTCAGTGCAGGGCACTGAAGGGAGCGGCTCCCTGAGGGAGGAACCCCTGCATCCTCGTCCAGGCCCCTCAGGAGTGTCCCCTCCCCACCTCTACTGGGATCCAGGACTCAGCTTTCCCAAGCCCTCCGCACACTCCTGTTCCCAGCTCAGAGCTAGGTCCCCATCCCCGTGCTCAGGTACTGGGGGGCCTTGGAGGAGCTGCCAGGCTACCTATCTCCCTGCCCCACCCCATTTTGGAGCTCTCAGCTCAAACCCCTCAGGTGGTGGTGAACTGCCCCCCATGTCCCAGGTCTCCAAGTCTCAGTTTTACGTTTTTATTGGTTTTAGAGAGGAAGGGAGAGGGAGAGAGAGAGAGAGAGAAACATCAACGATTCCTCCTGCATGCCCCCCACTCAGGGCCGAGCCCGCTACTGGAGCATGTGCCCTTGCCGAAATCGAACCCAGGACCCTTCAGTCCTTAGGTCGATGCTCTATCCACTGAGCCAAACCAGCTAGGGCATCCAAGTCTCAGTTTTAGAACCAGTACAAATGGATGAGAGTATGACAAGAGGTCAAAAGGAAAAGTGGGCCCGGCTGGTGTGGCTCGGTGGTTGAGCACAGACCCATGAACCAGGTAGTCATGGTTCAATTCTAGGCCAGGGCACATGCTTGGGTTGTGGGCTTGAATCCCAAAAGGAAGCATGCAAGAGGCAGCTGGTCGATGATTCTCATCATTGATGTTTCTATCTCGCCCTCTTTTGCTCTTTCTGTAATCTATTGAAAAAAAAAGAAAAAAAAAGGAAAAGTGTGAAAACCAACTCAGCAACAAAAAGGGGTATAGTGCTGAGAGTGGGGCTCCCCAGGAAGCAGGACCGTGGCCCTGCAGAGAGGGGACCTGAATGGTCCACAGGCAGAGCTGGGAGCCATGTGTGGTTCCCACCTTTGGGTGCCAGGTACAGCCTTTTCTAGGGCTGCCTGAGGATGCTCAGGGTCAGGACGCTCTCTGGGGAGATGCCCCATGCAGGGGAAGGCCACTACACCAACACTTCAGTTCTGCTTAGGTTTATACATGTCTTTGGGCCCAACAAGAGCAATAGTATGTTGCTGTGGAATTACCATTGACGTGTAGAGTCTGTGTCACAAATTACCAGAGCCTGCCTCTTTCACCCCGCAATTAGTACTCTCTACAACCTGATCAGCTTCCCACACTGCAAGAGGGGAAACGGGCACAGCGCTTGGTGGGGCCTGGCAAGCTGAGGATTGAAACCCACTTTCTCTCTCACATCTGAGAAGCCAGGAACCTCATGAGCAAGCCCCACAATGGCTGCTGTTGTAAAATCCAAGCTAGTGCCAACACAGGGCCCACCCCAAACCAGAACGTCCTCCAAGAATCTGCCCCAGGTCAGGAGCCAGCCCGGGCCGTGGAGCCTGCCTTCTGCAGAAGCCCCGGGAGGCCGGGGCGGCCCACGGCCGGGAAGTCAGTGTGGCAGAGGCTGCCGCTCAGTCAGACATGGCGGTGACCTCTTGCCCACGGAACGATTCTTCAGTCTTTGGGAGACAGGCTCCTGACCGCTCAAACTCCAACCCAAGCAGCCCCGGCTCTGTGTTCCCCCGTGCCCCACCTGCCAGTGCTAACTGCAGGTCACATTTCACTTTCCTCCTGGAACTCTGTTCATTTTGTCTGCCTAGTGCCGAGTGTAAGCCCGTGAGGAGAGGCCACCCCTGCCAGGTTGGTGGCTGCATTCCTCCTGTGCTGGCACAGCTTGGGCCTCAGGCAAGCACTCAGTGACTGTGCTCCACAGAGGGCCTAGAGCAGCATCCGCCAGGGCTGCTCTGACACCCTGAGCATTCGCCTGCCTGCCCTGTCTCTAACACTCTAACTTCAGATCAGCACTCCAGAATGGCAGGAAGTTCCCTAAGGCTGTCCAGACAAACCCCCTCCCCCTCGCCCCTCCAGCAACCTTTGGTTTGCTGTCTCTCTCTCTAGAGGTACTTTTCCTGGAAATTTCCAGATGGACTCACATCATTTGTTAGTATTTTTAATCTTTGGGAAGAGTGTATTCTGCTCCAAAGCTAGGCTGCAGACCCTTCCAGGGCAGGATGGGGTCCACAGCTCTATGTTCGCCTAGGTTCATATGCTTACACTACAGATGGTCACGGCCAGTGACAGTAAAAGAGGCCCAGTCCTGTTCACGCTCCCAAGTGCCTGCGACACTCAGGCTGCTCCCCCGGGAACCCCCATCTGAATGGTCATATCTACAACATGCCCATGAGTGACTTTGAAGGGCAGACCTTCTCAGGCCTATTTCAGGCTCTTGCATTGTCTGACTAGGACACCCGTGAACCAGGCACCTGGGAACTGAGCAGGCCTGGATTGGACGCGGGCTTCACCCACAGCACCTACACCAAGCATGCCAAACTTGAAGGCTAAATCAGGCCAAATAAACAAGGCTTAAGTTTATGTGGGTGGCAGAAAAAACAAAAGCTTCAATTTTCACAGAAACATAGGTTTATTTCGATAGAGACATGCTGAATACAAAGGGCTGAAATTAATAATTGTTAATATAAAATAATAGAACATTGTAATAAAAATTAATCTTTTTTTCCTTGAACAATAACTAAACATTATTGTGTAACGCAAATAAACCTATTTTTCTTGTTCTCCAAAAGTGAGATATTTCCTGTTGCGCACACCAAACAAGTCAGCTCAAGACTAATGATGTGGCAATTGGCTGGTAAAATATTCGCTGCTAGTATTAGTGGAGAGAAATGGTGTGCTTGCATGTAAGGTGCGTAAGGGAAATGAATGCAACATGATTATAGTAATCAGTCATTACAGAACATTGTAGTTCGTTGTTAATAACTAGAGACCCAGTGCACAAAATCGTGTGTGGTGGCCTGTCACTGCTCACAGCCCCATCCACCCGCCCACCGCTGCTCAATGTTCACTGTCCCACCCGCCTTGCTGCAATCAGAGCCTGTGGGCTGCAGGGGAGGGACCAAGAGGTGCTCATGGTGACTGGTTGTTTGGTCATCCTGGTCTCCACAACACTGGCTTTTTATATAAAGGCAGTCCTCAGGTTATGTTAGATTCAACATACATCGTTTTGTGGT